CGGCGACCTCCTGGGACATGGCGCTCCCCACTGCTGGACTTCCTACATCTCCAAGGGTTATTCACTCCTAAAGCAGGAAACCCTGTCTGCCTTAACCATTTGGGGCCAGGGTCGGGAGGAAGGGCTATTTCCCACATAAACACAGAGGCAGGTGAGCTAATTCAGTGAGTCTCATCATCCTGGGAATTGATGCAGGTTGAATACTACGTCCGGCTGCTCATCGGGGATGTCCCCAGGGCTAAGATGTGTAGGTCCCTCTGCCCTTCACTCTCACTAACAGCTGCTACGCTCAGGGCCTGCCTTCCTCACGGCTCCCACTCGCCTGCAGCTCCCAAAGCACTTCAAGGATCTAAGCTGGGGAAGTGGGTTTGTTCTAAAGACAATGCTAGAGCCCTTGGGATCTTTTTAGAAGAAAATGCACGAACTTTGTCATGGTTGTCACCATTCTCCTTAAAGTCCTGTCTCCCGTCTTTCAAAAAGAAAAAGCTCTATGCAAGTGCTAAGCCCAGGAGCCCTTCTAGCGCCACGGAAAGCTGGGGAGACAGGTTGGCAAAGTGTGCGGGATGTGTTGTGTGAGCACGAGAAGGTGGTCCTCCCCCACATCAGTGTGATGGGCACTGCCTCCTGGCCACATCCCCCGGCGGCCTTCCCTCCCTGCAGTGCAGCCCCGGGAGGCTAAGTGCCCTCACCCTCCGCGTCCGTCCGCAGGCAGCCCTGGGAAATGACTCCTCTCGGGCAAACCGGGTTCTGACTGCACAGAGCAGTGATGCATGTTCTGCAACCACTAACAGGACACAGGAGCTCAGAGAACCCAGACTCCTCGCTCCCCGCCATTCATCTTTCCTCGGATGAACTGCACCTTCTCCCAAGACCATTGGGAGAACCCAGCCCAGCCACCTGGGATACTCACAAGGGAGAAGTCTTCACGTAGCTCACGTTCCCGCTGCCCTCCGGGCACTCGGGGCTGACACACTGGAAGCCTCCACCCGTGTTGATGCATGTGGTTCCCCGGGGACACAGGTGCTGTGAGCTCACGCACTCATCAATATCTGAAAGACGGGCACCCAGTCAGGGTGGAGATCGCCGACGTCCCCTCCATCACTGACAGGGCCACTGGGGTGTGGTGTCCCCACGTTCCAAGCTTTCCAAACGTTCAGGCTGTTTCTTAGAGTGGGGAACTCGCCTCCCGGGATCCTGTCCTCCCTCCTGGGTGTGACAGCTTACAGGGGGCTGGACAGCACAAAGGAGTGCTCCTGCCACCGTGCTTCTCTCAGACCTGCCTCCTCAGCCAAGGTGCCCTGCTGTCTCTCCTCCAGGGCTGTTATCATGCCCTGTATGATCAAATCATTGAAAGCTTCCTACTCGGCCTCACCCCATGCCTAAAGCAGATGGCCTCACTCTCCTCTGTATGCGTTCTCTGCTCCCTTCACAGGTGAGTTTCCCCGCTGAAGTGTGTGTTTCTTCCCAACCCCACACAAACACTGTAGGACAGACAGATGGACGAACAAATGAATGAGAGATGGATGGGTGGATTGGATGGATAGATGAATGGATGGATGGGTAGAAGAGATGGACAGATGGAGGAGACAGATGGAGGTGGGTGAGAGAGATGGAATGATGGGTGGATGCACAGATGATGGCTATCTAGATACCTTCTCCTACACCAATCCCAGGTTACCATTTCTCTGAGTCCTGCAGTGGAACCTCAATAGGATGTCACGGGGGAGCCACCTCCTCTCTGTTTCCACAGCCTATGGAGCCTTCTGCCCTCTCTCCTCCTCCTTCTCCCCCAGCAGCTCAGAGCCACAGTCCAGGACCAGCTGGGTTCTCTTCTGTGTCCTGTCTCCATGGGTGACAGCTGAGGAACACGGATTTGTCCCTCCTCTATAGTGAGGCAGGCCTCGGTTAGCAGACCAGTTTTCTGCAACCCAGAGACCTGCTATAGCATCGGGGTTCCAGGGCTGAGATGTGGGGTGATCGCACTAGAGCATAGTGGCTGTAAGGTGCTTCCCTTTCAGATGGAGACGTAGGCCTGCACCGGCCATGGAGAGGGCCCGTTACGCCCAGAGCCTCATGTCTCCTCCAGATTGCAGGGCATGGGACCAACTGGCTCCTCTTCCTTTGGTCCCACCCTGGCTAAAGGCATCGTGAAGGGGAGGACATGGCCTGACCTTGTGAGCAGTTACTTGCAGAAGGTCAGAAGAGACTATTTGCCAGGATGGCTAAGCAACTTGCTTTCCTATTTATGGCGATGCCAATGCAGCCTGATGAGAGGTCCTTCTGTTGGTGGTCTTTTTGTTGTTGTTTATTGATTTCAGAGAGAGGGAGGGAGAGGGAGAGATAGAAACATTAATGAGAGAGAATCACTGATCAGCTGTCTCCTGCACGCCCCCTACTGGGGATTGAACTGCAACCCGGGCATGTGCCTTGATTGAGAATCGAACTGTTCATGGGTCGATGCTCAACCACTGAGCCACACCTGCCAGGCTGTTGGTGTTTTGTTTTTTTAAAAATATATATTTTTATTGATTTCAGAGAGGAAGGGAGAGGGAGAGAGATAGAAACATCAATGATGAAAGAGAATCATTGATCGCTGTCTCCTGCACGCCCCCTCTCCCCCACTGGTGATTAAGTCTGCAACCCGTGCATGTGCCCTTGATTGGAGTCACACCCAGGACCCTTCAGTCCACAGACCGACGCTCTATCCACTGAGCCACACCGGCCCGGCTGTTGGTGGATTTTTAAAGACTGAGTATATCTGAGACTTTGACCCCCGGAACATCCACTGCATCCCATTCCGGAGTCCTGGCAGGTCCCAGGAGCAGCAGTGACCAGGTGCGGAGAGCCCCTCTCAGCCCCGCAGCACCTGCCTCTGGTTCAGGTCCACTCACCCTCACAGCTCTTCCTGTCGGGCAGGGTCCGGTACCCGCTGGGGCAGGCACAGCGGTAGGAGCCAGGTGTGTTCACGCAGGTGTGCATGCAGAGCCGGGGGCGCCCCTCCTGCCCGTAGAGCTCACACTCATTCACATCTGGGGACAGAAGTGCCTGGGATAACTCGGGGGGCCATGCAGTCAGCCCTGTCCCCAGCAGAGCATGGGAAGGGGGGGCACTCCCATTCTGCAGAGCCAGAGGGCATAGGAAGGAGGGGGGGAGCTGACCAGACAGCTTCCAAGCCTCCTCCATCTAAGGCTGAAGACCCTGGAAAGGCAGACCCCACAGAGGCTGGCCAAGCAGACCCCCAGGGCAGCCCAGAGAGCCAGTGCCTGCTGCACCCCAGACTCCCGGCCTACTTTGCGGCCCCCTCTCTGAGTCTTGTTTCTGCTGCAGTAAAAGGAGGCTGTTGGCACCAACTGACCGATTCTCAGGTCTGGACCACTGGCCTGAGTTGTTTTCAGAAGGAGCTTTGGTGGGCAAGATGGTCCCTAGAAGCGGCCTTGTCCATACAGCTAAGCCCAGAGGGGCAGGGGGGAGCCTCGCACCTGCCCAGCTCTGAACCCCCACCCCTGTGATTCCAGCCACGATGCAGGGACAAGGGGCTCAAGGCCAGGTTCTGCCTGGGGGTAAGCCTGGGACCCCTGGCTACTTGCTCATGGCGGCCCTCGCCTCCCACCATGTCTAGGTGTCAGCTCCTTCTCAGCAGCCACCAGGTCAGCAGGAACCGAAAACCACAGGGGCTGGGATCCCTGAGGCCGCGCTCCTCCTTCGCGCTCTGGGTGCGGACTGGGTGCGCCCATAGGTGGCAGGGCGGTGGTGGTGCCCCTGCCCTCCTGCGTCCCCCCTGCTGTGCCCGTCTGGCAGGTGGGCACCCCGTTGTGTCCCCCCCACTTTGAGTCCCCTCCCCGCGCACCTGCCTACCTACCCTGGCAGACGCTGTCGCCGCCCGCCGTGCCGCTCAGCTGGAAACCCGCCTCACAGCTGCAGTGCCGGGTCCTCTCCACCTGCGCGCAGCGGGGCGCGCGGCTGAAGGCGGGGTCGTCCGCCTGGCGCTCGGGGGCGGCTGCGGGGAGAAGACGAGTCAGGGCCGCCCCTCTGTCCCCGACCTCGGGAAAGGCCGGGAGCCCGAAGGAGAGCTCACTCTGCAGGCCGAGGAAGAGGGAAGGGGAGTCACCAAAACTCCCGGCAGACGGCCCAACCCGCGGACGGCGCGCGCAGCACCGAGGCCAGGCGAGGGCGAAGGTCGGGGAAACCGCCCCTTTGTTCAGAAAGGCGTGGCGCACACCCAGTGCCCACAGCCCAGCGGGCACCGCAGTTCGCATCCACTTCTGGAGGGTTCTTTTGTGCTGTATTCTTCTTTTCTACGTTTTTCTTTTTGTTTGTTTTTGAACCAAGAACAGAAATCAACTTTCTAATCAGAAAAAAAGTATTAGTTTGTGGAAGTTGTCAAAGGTTGGGGGAGGCTGCAGAGGAATGGGGGTGAGAGTGAGGGGATGCACAACAGGACACAGACTGTGGGGTTCCTGCCTCGTGATGGTCCCGAGAGGAGTCGGATTCAGACAGAAGTAGCAGGGTTGCCAGGGGAGGTGCTGGGCGCAGAGTCTTAGCTCTGCAATGTGACAAAGCTCAGGGGATGGGTGGCTGCAGGACAACATGAACGTACTAGTACTTAGTGCCACTGAACCTGCTACCAAACCCTACACTTAAAATGGCAACTTTTATGTTGTTTGCATTTCACCACGACAGAAAAAGCAGGTGACTGGGTTTAATAAAAAGTACTGAGCGAGAGACCCTCCCCCCGCCCGCCCCCCACATGGGGCTGGACAGACACAGGTGAGTAAGCTCCCGGGCTTCTGCTAGAGGGTCCATGGGTGCTGTGAGGCAGGAGCTGGCTTTGGTGCACCCGTCACTCCCTCCTTCCCTTCCTGGGTGGGGGGTCCCCATCATGGTATACTTTATACATGAAGTGCCCCTGGGCCTGAGAAACAGCTGCCTAGAGGTCCTGATGGCAGAAGCCGTCAGCCTCCAGGACCAGCACATTTTGGTTTCAAGGAGTCCATTTCCTTTTCTGTCCTGTTTGTAAAGAGAGGCAGTGGGCTGCCCAGAAGGGCCCGCCTCCCACCTCGTCTGACAGAGCACCCCCCTGGCGAGGAGCTGGAGAGGCCCTGGGCTCCTGGCAGGGCAGCCTCGTCCTGAGAAAACTCCCAGCAGACTGAATGGAATCAGGACACGTAAAGCAGCAAATCTCTGGGGGCAACACTTACAGGTGACCTCGGGCTGGTCCAGTGCAAGGACGCTGAGTCTTGACTAAGCTCCTACTCTCCGGATACTGTGCTAACCGCCCGATCCTCCCCCCACACTGAGATGCCACACAGAAATCACACAGGACGTGCCAGGCTTTGGGGGCAAAGGAGCAGGATATACTTAGGATCTGACCTATTTATGTCATTTTGGTTGCACCGCAGTGTGGGAACCCCGTCCACCCCTATCAAATCCGTATTGCATTTTCCTGCCATCTGCACGGCAGCCACTGTGTGTCTCCCAGGCCTTCTGGCTGGAGACATGCGGGGACTCCGTGCGGACAACCTCCCCACCACTCAGATGAATAGTCGCCCAGCTCTAAAGACACCTGGCCTCTAACAGCAGCCGCGGACTGTAGGTGTGATGGGACAGGAAGTCACTCTGTAGGTCTGCAGGGGAAACACTGACACGTGAAGGTGGCCGCAAGGAAACAGCTCAGCCCAGCCCCAACCTGGGGACTTTTCAGGCTGTGAATTGGTCCTTCCACTTGAATTTTCTTCCATAAAAAGGTTCAAAACTCTGGTTACACAAAAGAGCTAAACTCCGTCCCTGGTACCTGCCTCGGGGAACCAGAGAGATCGATGGATGTGGCGCAGAGGAAGAGCCCACACTGGCGTACGTGCATCTGGTGGCCCCTGACCAGGGTCCCCTGGCAGCGATGTCCTCGCCCAGCCCCTCATGGCCACGTACCAGTCTGGGCCTGGTGCTGGCAGCGGCTCCCGGTTCTTCCTGGAGGGCAGATGCATGTGTACTGGTTGACTCCTTCTAAACACGTCCCGCCATGCTGGCAAGGCTGGCTGGCGCACTCGCTGATATCTAAGAAGATAAATCATTTTCAATCACAAGTCTGAGTTCAGATTCTAAAACAAACAAACAAAACACAAGATGGATGAACCGTCTTTACGTCGCAGTTTGCCTCGGGCACTCCGCCTCCCCACTCTGCCCTTGCCACCGCCTGCTGCAGGAGCTCAAATGCAGCCCACCCTCTCTCTGCAGGCCACGTGCCTGCCAGCCTGGAGCTCTGCCGGTGGGTACAGCGCGTCACCTGCCTGTCAGCCAGTTCCCAGGCAGAACTGCCCCCAACGCTGCCCGTCAGCTCCCAGATAGAACACCTTTTGGACGGGAGCTCAGTTTGGGGGAGTTTTAAGAGGGAGGGAGGGATGGCCCAGAGAATGTACAGAAATGGGGAAATGCACTTTCCAATCCCACCTAGAAGCCCTCCCGTCAGTTCTCCTGACCCTTGACCTCTCCTTAATGCTGGAAAAGGAAACGGTTCCTTGTTCATCTACGCACAGTCCGGTGGAAAAGCTCCATAGAGAGATACATGTTTAACAGTGTAATAGGTTTTCCTCTGTTGGTAGTTTTTCTTATTTACACTTTGTTTCCACAATGAACATTTATAAATTTCCAAATCAGGGGGGAAAATGATATTTTGAAACCCTCAGGCCCCATCTGCGTGTTGTGAATCCCGTAAGCCCAGTTTTGGTGGTGGCGTTTGGGCACCAGGGGCAGGTCTGGGGTTCCCGGGCTGACCACAGCGTCCTGGGGACGGTCCGAAACGCCCCGAGTGGCACCCGAGCATCCTTCCCTGATGTGTCCTTCGAGAGGAAGGGAAGGTCTTCACTCCTGATGAGAACAGCAGCCTTGTGGGGCGGGTTGGCCTCCTTGTGGCTGGGGTGTCGTGTAAACTGTGACATGGTTTGTCTCCATCACGGAAGGACCCACACCATCCAGATGCTGGGAGGAGCCATTTCAACTTCTCAGTGACCCCAACCTGGCTGTCCTCCCCCACAGGCTCTGTTTTCAGATGAGGGGTTTCCAGGAATGTGCCCGGAGCCACACTGCACACAAAGCCACGGGCTCAGAGCTCCCGTTTCTACCCGTCGTCCAGCCCATCGGTTCTCACCAGCAACGTCTGAAAGCAGCAGACCTTGAGGCCGTGAGGTCGTGGCACAGAGCCAGGATTTGAACACGGGCGTCTTTCATTCTGGCCCCGGTGGGACCAGTGCCATGGCCTGTCCCCAGCCAGGCCTCCAGCAGGAGGCACCGAGCCCGGTCGCACCTGGACAATGGGGTGCAGGTGGGGTGGGGATTGTACCCAGGTGCCCCAGGT